AGCAGGAATCTGGAACAAGCTTTTACACGCAGGCTGCCCGTGCACGGTGCCCTCCCCTTGCTTTTGCAGGGGTAACGAGAAGCAGAGGGGCGATGCGGCAAGGACCCTTCTCCCAGGGGGGAAGCCAGTGCAGAGCAGGTACCTCTGCTCCGAGGCAGCCAAGTGGCAGCAGAGACCTAAGCCAGGACCCAGCTCCCTGCCACCAAAAGTCCTCATTTTTTCAAGAAATATCTCTAAACCCTTTGGGGTTCCTTGTCCTGTTCTGGTGTGTGTCCCCCCAGAAGCCAGCAGGTTTTCCCGCACAGAGCTCTGGAGCTGCTGCAGCCAAAGCAGCAGATCCTTGTGGATTTGCCATGGTTTCCTGGCATCTCCTTGAGGCTCCTCACCCAGCCACTGCAGGGACAAAGCCTGACACAACCACAGCCCCTTCCATTCCCCACAGCCCATTTTGGAGAGATGCTGACTCCAGCTGCCCTCTCATTCCAGCACCCATGGAGCTGCCCCACGTTCTTCCCTGCACACTCCCCACTCGGCCTCAGCGACCCTCTCGGCATTTCGGCAGAAGCCATCCCCAGGCGAGGTGCCTCCGTGAACACCCAAGGTAGGCGAGGGATGCTCGGGTTTCCCAGCACAACAGCAGCCGCGGCGTTTCCCTCCCACCTCTAAGTCTCCACGGAGCAGTTTGGGGTGCGAGCTGGTGGCTCCCCTCTCCCCTGAGCTCCCCTCTCAGCAGCCCCACACCTGCCCTAAGTTTTACTATCCCAGCCTGAGCATTCCCTGCAAACTGCGGGTGCTAAGAACATTTTTGCTCTGCCCTACAGCTTCTCTGTAGAAGATTATCCAGGGGCCTGGGGGCTAACTTCCGTCTGCAGGATTACTTCACTTCTGCTTCTCTGTCCATCCGAGCAGGACTCTTCTTTGCCTCTTGTCCCCACTGAGTTGTGTTACTGGACGCTGTTCAAACAGCTCCTCTCCACCCTAGAAGCGACGCCATCTCCGAGAGCAGAGATGGACACCCAAACAGAAGAACTTCACGGCCCCTCAGACGGGGGGAATCACTCTCATCCTTTCGCTTCGCTTTCACAGGAACCCAGACCCTTACACATCCAAGCGCAGGAGTGAAAGACTCGAGCCAGCAAACAGAGTAAGCCGGTCCTCCCCACCCTCCGCGGGCTGTGAATTCGGATACCGCAGGGCAGCCGCCTCCGATGCCCGAGCCCGGACGCGTTTCACCTCAGCACAAGCTTTTGCTGTACAAATATCCACAATCTGCTTGGGCTGGGGGGGGGAACGGCTGGCGGCCAGAGGCACGGACTGCTGCGGACACCCACATCGCGCTCACCTCAGTAACACACTTTCTTTTTTATTGTAGTTGTGGAATAGCAGTTTTAAATAAGGTAAGCAAAACACAGATAATAACTAGCCTTGAACTCCTGCAAATTAAATCAGTTTCTAAAATGTCTGACCGGGACACTGACTTACGCTAAATTTCTAGAGTTTAAAAAATTATGACACTGCTTCCATATGAGAGAAGGGCACTTCTGTCCCACAGATATCTACTGTTCTCACTCAGTAAAACTCCCCCCGATTCGATCCGCTACATGGCAGAGATGCCACAGCTCCAATGCTGTAAGTTGCAGCAGAAAATATTTTCATTTCCCTGGAAAAACCAGCCAACCAAAGCCCAGCAGGTTCTCCTCCTCCACCCAAACATGGGCCATTAACTTCCATTTTATTTCAAAATATTTGGATTTTGTAGCAAGTCCATACAGTGTATATAAACTGAAACAATCCTATGTTTTTAAACATTTGCCCTTCCCCTTTCAGGAAATGGTGCAGCTGTCCAACTACCTGAAGGTAGGTACCCAATATTGTTAAGTACCCGCTGGGAAAGCGGGTCTTCAGCAAGTAGACCAATGCTTTTTAAATAATAATAATAAGCCCAATTATTATCATTACATGCCCAATTTTAATGTGGCCAAGAAAGACTCCAGATAAGCCACTGAACTCAAAGACCCGCCTGAACCCCCCGGACCTGCAGAAGCCCTGACCTTGACCTTGAGCTGGGGATCCCCACTGACGCGCTCTCCCCTTCCCCGCAGGAAGCCCTGCACCGCGAGCTGCTGCTCAAGCAGAAGATGGTCCTTTTGCAGGAGCTTTTCTCCACGTTGCTGCAAGCGTCAGAAAAATCCTGGCAGGTACCAGAACCGCACGCGGCGATTCCTGCCGGGGGAGGTTTTGCCTTGGCGGGATCGGGCTTTTGTGCAGAAGCAAGAACGGCCCAGGTGTCTCTTTCTTTCTCGGCTCTAAGCTCTAGCTCCGCTGGGCTTCGGTGCTTTGCAGGCTCGGAGACGTTACGGGTTTGAAACGCGGTGCTGTCACCTAGCAGACACGACGTGGGGCAGAACCCTTCACCTGCAGCTTGCTGCACCTCTTTCCTTGCTGCCACCTTTCTTTCTAGGGAGGGTCAAACACAAACTCAGAAATTAGAGGGGTACTTTGCCTGAAGTTTTTCCCTTTTGTCTCCCAAAAGATTGTTACAAAACATACTTTGCTTTCAGATCAACAGGAAGTGTAAAACCCTTTCCGTCTGTAAGGTTTTGGGGTGGTTTTTTTTCCTACTTGCCTTTCCCACTTTTTCTTAAAAAGCAAACAGAAGTGTACGAGTGGGGAAAAATTGGAATAAACCCAACCAACCATCTTCCAACAAGGTTTCTTTCCTAGCGAAAACAAGTTTGAAATATTTTGAACCAATTTCTGTTGCCCCCACCCAAAAAAAAAAATTTTAGAGGCACCAAACTGGTGCACCCAAGTGCTGGCAAACACTGCATTGGATGGAGGAAAGACAAACTGTTTCTTTATCTGGGAACACGACAGCTAAAAACCCCAGCCAGCGCACGCAGCCTTCCTGCCGAGCTCCCGGCCACCCCGTCCACTCCTCGCTGGGATCCCCGGTGACATCCTGCAAAGGCAGCGCTGTCCCCATTGCTTTCGGGGGGGGTATTCTGGGCCCCACGCACAGGGTGAGGACCCAATATCGTGATGCTCTGGCACCTTATGTGCACTGCCGAATCGTGGCCCTGCGTCAAGCTATTTCCCCAAGCTCAGACAAAATGCTCTGGGCAGCGCTGAACCAGGGCCCCTTTTTTTTTCCTGCTACCAGGAGGTAAAATTAAGATGATGCATTTTATGTAACATATGAAGTGTTTTATGTAGGATGATTGAATCAGATATTAATTTACAGTTCATTGTGCCATGAAAAAAAGTGTTTTGAAAGGTCTATTGGGGCAGAAAAGCAAATGATTGGGTGAGATGATGTAAAAAAAAAAAAACCACACACAAAACCCCTGCGTTAGATGTACTGTGGTTAGAAACTTCTGCCTTTGCTTGCTTCTTTAAATATAATATGAGCAGGAAAAAACACCCTGACAGACTCTGCAGGAAGCAGCCATGAAACCTCACATTAAAAACAGGTGGGTGCACTTTGCTTCTTGCTATCTTTGCTACAGAGGAGAGATTTTGCTGCTGCCTCTTGCATTCAGCCTTTCACCAGACTAAAAATTCACTCGCTGCCGGCACCAGAGCCGACGGGGCAAACAAGGCAGATGCTGCCCGCACGGAGGGGATCCCCGGGGAGCTGGCGCAGAGGGAGGCTGGGGAGAGGGGCTTCTCCGGGAGGTATGGACGGGTCCTATACCATAAGGCCGTGCCATGGAAACTGATGGCTGGTTGCCCATTTCCAAGCCCAGGTGAGACACCAAACACTTGTTGCAGCAGCTTTTTAATTCCTTTCAAATATTTCAGGGTTTAAAGAAATGTTATTGCATACACATGAATGCTATGGCAGCAACTCGTGAAACGGCCACAGTCATTTCTGAGGTGCTGCTCGTGTTCGTGAGTGCTTCTGCCTTGATGGAACAAGTGAATACTCTGCAGGATGATGGGGGTGTCATTAAACTGAAGGGATAAAACATTCAGGTTCCCCCCCATGATTTTACTTCTGGGTTAGAGAGACCTTCCTACCACAGGTCTGTACCTTCAGTCCTCCATCTGCTGTAAAACTGGCTTAGTTGATTCAAAAATGCTGCCAGGTGAAGGAAGCTAAGTCTCACTTATGATTATTAAGAGTCATTAATTTTAAACTGTTCTCTTCTTAAAGAAAACTGCTACTTTAACACATTTTCTTCCCTTCCTGACCTCTGAAGTCGAGCCTGACTTTGGGAAGTACCTTGCAGCTCTGCCAAGTTTAAGCTCTTTGTCATTTCCAGTGTGTTACTACTACTATATGGACTTACTTTTCTAGCACAAGCATCGTGTTTGGGCAAACTGGAAGCCTTCCAGAAACAGCGTTTATTATTACTGCTTTGAACAAGTTATTTAAAATGATTAAGGGAAGGCGTATCAGATAATTCACCAAACAGTACAACCAAAATATTACAGCCAAAACCAGTTTAAAATACTTTGATGGCACTTAAATGACAGCAGTAGAGAACTGCAGAAGATTTAGAGAGGTTTTGGAGCTGCCCATTCAGGTAACCTCAGGCTCCCTAAACAGGAGGGCTACGGAGGATCCAAATGTGGTGTTTGCAAGAGCAGGCGCATTTTGGACACGTTAGCCGTAATCCTTTCCTCTGCCTGGCTGGCAGCGGCTATCCTGGGCTCTGGCAAGGCGCAGGGCAAGGACCCCCCGGCGGTGTTCATAACAGTGTCACCAGGGACGTGGTGACAAGAGGAAAAGCCACCCTGTCTGATGATGGATGGTGGCTACAGAGGGTGGTTGTTTTGTTTAGTTGTGGGTAGGGTTTTGGGTTGGTTTTTGTTAAAGCATCCCCTTTCACGTAGGTCATCTTCAACACAAGGGCTTGACCAAGATTTGCTCACTTAACTTTTCTGGTCAGAAGCGTAATTTCTTACGCCCTCCCACATACGTGCATTCACCCCGCACTGCCACGCTGTTCTGGTAGCAGCCCTAACAGACACCTTATTCCACTTCGGGAGATCTTTATGTTCTTTTGCCAATTTATAAGCTGCATCTCCATGAGAGGAGTTTGCCAGCACATCTTTGCTCTGAAGCGTAGGAAGGGCCCGGTGCTCTGTTGCCTTGTACTTTGCACAGTCATTTACATCTGTGCACAACGGTTGTAACACCACCACCTTCCAACATGAACCTTTGCAGATAGCAGAATAAAATAAACCACAGAGGAAAATTAAGCATAATATTTCACATACAAAAATGCTTTTCAAAATTCCACCTACTTTCCAAGACAATAGAGCCTTTAATTCTTTGTATCAACAACTGAACTGGGAAGATTTAGTCTTTGGGACTGTAAACTTACTTCTGTGCAAATTTAAGCAGTGCTTAGACACCAGAGAATCTGGTTTTGCTTGGGTCTAACAGCTATTCCTGTAACATCAAGGAGTTGCTTCTCAGAGGCTTGACTTCAAACAGCAGCGAGCAGAGAGGATACCAGCGCTCTCGGTATCGGTGGTGGAAAAACAGCCTACGTGAACTCACTCTTTGCTAGAAATTGTATCTGAATTTGCATGCAGTCTGGTTTCACAAAACCTAAGCAGCCTGACTAACGCTGAGAGGAGATCATAATAAGAAAAATGAATCATCCCTGTTGCCCTCTATCCCCCTGCCCAACTGCTAGATGTTGCAACGCAGACCCAACCTATTTCCTAAGGGAACCAGCAAGACAAGACCTTAGCACCAGCCAGAGCTTTAGGCAAGGAGTGTTGGAGGGAGGAACCATCAGCCAGGGAACGGGGCTGTACACGGGGACAGGCGGCACCTCCGCTTCTGCCAGACCCATCCAGACTAACCTGAAATCCCCTTGGCTCCTCACTTCTCATCTCACTGCAAGTACCTGCACTCAGTAACCAGTGGAACTGCCTCAGCAGAGTTTTTCAATACGTAAAAGTTTTACTTCCCCCATCTGTCATTTATTCTGAGATCGTGAAGGGCTTGTTTACGCGTTGAAAAGACTTTGACCAAATTTAGCCGCAATATTACAGACGAAGGGAGAAGGTGAATCAAAACACAAGCTGACAGAACACTGCGGGCATATTGCATAGTTCATGATTCCACACATCGGTTCAATTGTTTTTTTATCCCCAGGGTCAGCTGAATGAAGATAAACTGAAGTGTAAACTAAGAGCACTTGAAAATCAGCTGCAGGCCTGTACCCAGGTAATGTCCGATCACCGAGAGACAAACATGGGTGAAGAAAGGATGAAAACAAAATACGTAATTAGGTCAGGTCTCAGTTTCTAGAGCAATCTAATCAGATACAGATCTGAAAACGATTTTTCCTCTTTGCTGAAGCAATGCTTCACAGCAAATCAGCAGTAGCATTTACACACTCTGGCTTAGCAAGATTAGGAATATGTCAGATAAGATCCTTCAAGCACTTTAATTCTTCCTTTAAAGAGTTACTCAAAGGAGTGTGTGAAGAAGATCCTGATAGAGATGGAGGACCAGAAGCAGACCTATGAGCAGAAGGCAAAAGAGGCTCTTCAGAAGATGCTGGAGGACAAACTCCAAACAGAGCAGCAGCTGCAAAACTCTCAAGTAAGCAACATGTTTTACACCTGGCTTTGCTTTAATCTAGCCCAACTGTGACAAAGAGCCCCCACATTTCAGGGAAAGGCAATGACTAGCTTACCATTAGTAACAAACATGCAAAAATATATTTTTTATTTTTTTTTTAGCTACTGAGCAAAGTCCAAAGCAGCTTAGTGGCAACCTGTGCTCATTTTGTGAGCCACACATCAGGTTATTAAAACCAGTACACAGGTGGGGAAACATACTGCTGTTTGGCAGTTTTAAACATAATTCCTTCTCCTCCACCAACCCTTCTTCCCATTCCCTGTCCTGCACACACAGAACAACAGGCCACACACACAGACTTCCAGGCCACCAGGTCTCCAGAGACACTTTTTCTGGAGTTGCTCTTTTGTATGAAAATGGATTTTCTCCAAGAGGTAGCAATTTGCTTTGACCCACAAGATAACTGCTATTTTCAGAAAAACAAGTCAGTCTTCTCCCAAATACTACTTCCAAATAGCTTCCAAATCCTGTGGGCAGCAGAGGAACTCAGGTTCCACAGCAAACCCGTGCCCATGTTCGCTCTGTCCATCAGATGGCATCAGACCCACGCAGGTTATCGTAACCCTGGCGCAGGAGGCGGCCGCGCTGCCCCAGCCCCATGCAATGCCCGTGGATGTTGGTCAGGGCAGCCTGGCATGGTCCCACCGTGCCGTGGGTCACAGCCCACCCCTAGGTCCTTGTCTCCTCCACAGAGGAGCCTGGCAGCAACGAGAGAGGACCTCACCTTCTGGAAAGAGCACTACACCACACTCAAAGACGAGATGACCAAGTTGACCGCGGCGCACACCGAGCTCGAGAACAGCTTCCATGTTTTGCAAAGCAAACTGCAGGTACGTTAGGTCCCCGCAGGAACAGCATCTGTGGGAGTCTGCATTTCCCAATTTGCAGGCAGGGAAGCCCCTAAGTTGAGATCACTACAGAATAAATCCCGTTCGATGAAGCACAGCACTTACACGTGCAACCCAGTTCTCAGCTTGGGGCTGCCTTTCGCCACCGGAAAGCTGGCCGATGCCGCGTGCTCACAGGCTGCCCGTGGCACGGGGCTGGGCTGATACTGAGGCTCTTCTCGCCCCCAGCAAGCAGACGCGCAGAACGAGCAGCTCCAGCAGGCCCTGCGCAGCCTGCGGAACGAGCACGCCGCGCTCCACCGGCAAGCCAGCGCCTTGCGGGAGGACAACGACCTGAAGGCAGAGCACATCAGCGCCATCGAAGGTATCGCGTGCAGGGGAACGGTGCGGGGGTCTGTCCTCCAAATGAATGGAGGATATAAGGATATCAACAGTCTTAAAATCCTAGTCCTTAAAGTCAAGTGCACAAAACATACTGCACATCTTGGCTTGCTGAGAAAGCCTCTGGTTTCCAAAGGGCTCCTGAAGTCATTTCCAACTAGACTAAAGGACTCCAGAGAAGTGAAACGACTTGTCTAAAAGAAGGGATGGAATGAGACACCTGAAAAAAAAAAAATCAAAGATGAGTCCTCAGCTTTGATGAGGACTTTTGCATCCTTGTCAGACCCATCAAACACAGCGGTGCAAGCCTGCTGGGGTGGCAGGGCATCGCCCGCTACTGTCTGAGCTGCTGCTGCGTGGTGGTGGATGTTACCAGCGTATAAATACAAGCTAGTAGGGTCTTAAAGTACCACTCCAGGTAGAGGCAAGGAAACGCACATGTGCTTCACGCAGCTATTTTAAAACACAATTAAGGAAGAGCACATGGCTGGCAGATCTATTTTCATAACAGGTCTCACACAAACCATAAATTAACAGAGTGTAAGACACATTAGAAAAAGCTACTGAAACCGAAAGGGCAATTAACAGCTAAAAATCATGTTCCTTCAGAGAAGAAAGTTCAGTGTAGCCAACGATACCCACTCCACTTAACGCACGTGGAGAAAGGGAAAGCTGCCGTCCTTGCATAAAGACACACAAAGATTTACGTCAACCTTGATTTTCTTACCCTTGTTTCAGATAAATTGCAAAAAGAACAAAATCAGAAGGTAACACTGGAGGCAACGATCAGCTATTTGCACAGTAAGTAACACAAAGAAGTGAAAAGTCAGACTCCGCGTTAGCGCTGTGGATGGTAACAACAGCTTTTCACGTTCGCAGACTTGGTACAGAACCAGACCAACGAACAGAAGACCCAGGAGGTGACGGTGCAAAGGAAAGGTCAGCAAACTTTGTAACTCCCACCTAGCACTCCTCTCACTGGATACAGGAACAGTAGACCTGACTCCAGGAGAAGTCTACATTGGTTTAGAATAAAGGATTATTTTAAAGCTGCACAAAGCGAGTTATTATATTTTGCTAGTTAACATTAAATATAAGCGTATTTATGATGGCAAACACTTTAAAAAATAAATGGTGTTCATTGCAAATTCTACTTCAGTGGCTATGCCATTTTTTCCCCGAGCAAAATAAATTCCAGTTTATAATTGCAACTACAGCTGTACTTGAAAAAGTAATAAAAAGCATTTTTACCTCTCCCTCCCTTCCATTTCTGGCAACTTATTATAAATATTTCTCTAAAGATGATTAACTTGTAACTACAGCTGAGGCAGGCCCATGATAACTAACTCGGCTCCTGTGTCCTCTGCTGTGTGATAGCATGCAAGCATTATCTTTCAGCTGTGCTGAGTAAACAAGATCTAAAGCAGACTGAAAGCCTGGACCTGTTTCTCATCAGAAGCCTGACTGTTTTCTAGACCAGGTTTTCACCACGCAGACCCCACCTCTCACTCCTGCCAAGGAAAAACAAAACACTCTCTTAGAGCACCCTGAGGAGGAGGAGGAGGGAGAAGAAAGTCTGAAGGAGGAGATGCAGAAAAGGACATCCCAGCTTACAGCAAAGGAGAACGAGGTGAGGAGGTCGCTGAATCCCAGCGGGGACTGAGTTCCCTGCTGGGGAGCAACCGCTGGTGTAAGCGCTCCAGCAGCGGCACAACACACCGCACCAAAGCTCCTGGCAATAACCAGAGCTTGGTATCTCCTGTAAGGATTGTCTCTGCTGATTTTTTATCCCGATGCCAGCCTCAGCTAAGCCCCAGGTGCAGTCTCCACGCTCACGGGCAGGACACCAGCAGCCTGGCACCCAGGGCTGGAGCAGCAGAGCCCTCTCCATGCAAACCCATTTCTGCTCTCACCGACAGGAGAGTGTCAGCAGTCTCACAGGGAAAAGCCAAAGCCACGCTTTAAGAGCTGAAGTCTCCTGAGCATAAAGGAAGGAGAGGAAGAAAAAAGGCTCGCAAATAACAGGAAGGGTCTCAGCAACATCCTTACAACTGGGCTGCAAAAAACTTCAAAGCTTTCTGACTTCTTACATGCACTTTCTGATCTAAAACACTGTTTCAGGTCACAAGACTGGTAACCCAAACTGTGCCCTCAGCCAACCGACTTCCTCACAGTCCTTACAGCAATATTCAGATAGCAAGGATTTATTAAAAGAAAAAAAAAAAAGAGGGATTTATAACTTACTGCAGCAGAGCTTAGAGCCATGCAGGAGAAGAGCTCGTCCTACTGACCCACGCTGTCGAGCACAGCACCAGCACCAGGCATCACCCAGCACCACCTGGGGAAGGGTTTTGTAAGCACAATCACAGCAAAAGGAAACAGCTGTGGGGGTCCAGCTGCCCCCGCTGTGGCTCTTGCAGCCCCTGGGCACAGGCAGCCTCCTTCCACAGCAGCTGCTAACGCACCGCTCACCAGGAAGGCAGCAGGGTCTCATGGTGCGGGGCCGTTTGGACCAAAGATGCTCCCTGGGTTTTGGGGTTACAACGGCAACCAGGGCACCTTTGTGTTTCATGTCTCAGAGGGTTTAAAGGACTCCACAATTGCTCTTGCAGTCAGTGAAATGCAGACAATTTCAGAATGAGAAGCAAACCCTGCCACGAGTTTGCATTCCACAGGTTGCATATGACCTGCACGCTTTTATGGTTATAAAAATAACTATTGCTTCTTTCTCCCGTGTGATGTGAAAGATGGCAGCAAAGCCAAACAGGTCACGGGACAATAACTGACCGGGCATTGCCTCTGTCACCACGTTCCCAGTAACACTGAGATCTGCTCTGTCCCTTATAGGTACATATGGGCATACAGGGAGCAGACGTGAAAATCCCCCGTCACTGCAGTGCTCGAGCACGGGTGAAGCACTGCAGCCGCTGCGGGAGCCCTGCCACTCTGGGTGCGTACAAGAGTGAGGGGATCCCTCCTGCTAACGGCCCCTCGCTCTGCTTGCAGTGCACGGAGCTGCGCTCGGAGCTGGAGGCCCTGAGCGAGGAGTACCACTCCTGCCTGACCAGGCTGCGCCAGTGCCGGGAGGAGCTCAACCACTTCCAGGACAAGCAGGCAAAGGTGGGAGATGTTCCTCGTGCCGACTCCCTGTGCTTTCGGACCGAGGCTGCAGATCAGTCTGGGAAAATTCCCCCATTCATCTGTGCATTGCAGAAAGATGAATGACATGTTTGCTGGGGATGAGATGATGTTTTTTCCCCCACCAATTTCCTACTAATGCTTGCATCTCCTTGCAGAGACAGCGCAGTCACTGGGTCCCTCTCCTGGTGGCAGTGATAGCAATGGCCATAGCCACCTTCCTCACAAGTTACAGACCATGAAGGACCTTCTCGATGACCCATCTCACTGCAGGAACTGACTTCTGCTTCACCAGCAGCAACGCGCCCTCGCCGCAGTGCACATCTGCTGTTTTGTACTTACCTGTTCGGTTCATCACCTGAGCTGATGTCACTCCAGACAAACTCTCGCGGCTCAAATAAACGCTGGGAGATCACTCCTTCCCTCAGCTGCTTTGGTTATTTCATGTCAGTTGAAGGTTGTGCTGCCCAGTTCCTGTGACACTGAGGGACAAAGCCGCTCCAGCAACCGCTGCTGGGGTTAGCACTGGGTGGGAGGGACGAGGCATCCTGTACCCTTGGGATCCAGCCTCCCCGGTTTTCGTGCCCGGTGGCTGAGAGGACTACACAATTCTCTTCCTCTATTTATTGCCTCCCCAAAATAGGAGGTACGTGACCCCAGCCAATCTCTGCTGGCTACCTGACAAAGAAACCCAGCTCAGGGAGGCTTCTTAGCACAGCCCCCTCGTACTCCCCCAGTGCACTGCCTGTCCTGAGCAATCCACCCACCTCCTGCCTGCTGGGCCCAGTTCACCCACCGCTCTGTGGGCCTGTCTCGTGGCCAAGCATCCCCACAGCCACAGCTGCTTCCCCTTCACTCCAGCACCACGTTAATTTGACAGACGAGGGGGGTTTAAGCCCCTTTCGGAGCTGCACTGTGCAGGTTTTATGGTAGCACCTACCCCTCGTTCAAGCACAGGCTCAGCTACAAGACGGTGCGTTACAACACCTCACACGAGTAGTAAGTACGATACGGAGCCTACAATAAACTTCATCAATTCAAAATACTGAGGTCTTCAGATTTTTTTATTAAATCCTCAGGTGTCTGCAGCAAATAAACATACCGTGACTTTACAGGGCACACTCTGCAGTCAGGACGGAGGCTGCAGAGCAGCTGTCAGTGTGTACATCCACACGCTGCTCTGGGAAGTACACGTATCCCATTTGCAAGTGGCCTACAAGTTCTGGGCCCCGAGATCGTCACCACTCAGCCTTTGGTGCTCAGGGGCCTCCTGACAGCCTCAGCAGGCCGCACACATAAGAACGAGATCTCTTGCCTCGGTCCCTGACGCAAGTGAGAAACAGGCGAAAAAGTCTGTTTGTGTTTTACAAGGCGACTGCTGGAAGAGACACCACCTCACTTGAAATGCGGAGATCTACAAAGTCACTCTGAGCGCTGAAGGCCTCCTTCAGCTCATCACACCACGCATCCAGCACCACCTTCAGCTCTGCGCAGAGGCTCTCCGGGATGCTGAAGGAGTAGATCTGGACCATGAGACCATCCCTTATCCTGGGGCAGGAGGCCTGGACTGTGAACACCCTCAGCGGTGTCAGTGCCAGGCAGTTCTCAGCACCCTCCTCCATGGCAAAGGTGTATGCCGCCGGGTAGCCCAGCAGCACCCCGACAATGGTGCAGAGGTTCCAGCCCGCGGGGACAACCTCACTGGAGGACACGGGGCCAGCAGCAGTGGCCTCAACAGCCCCGAGGTGGGCGAGGAGGGCGGCAAGGTGGCTCCTGATGGCCTCAGCCTCCACTGGCCCACAGAGAGCC